GCACCATCTACAGGCCTGGCATATGTACTACAGCGTCTCCAGCGCTTTCGAACGGCAATGGCCGTGGCTGTCTCCTCCTAATTGGTGGAGTTGGCCCAATAGCCGTAGCGCCACCGCCCTGACGTCAGGACAGTGTTCAAATCTGGTTCAGTTTTTATCAGATCCGTTGCAGCCCCATTTTTAGAGATTTGGGTATGGAGGAAAATAGAGAGGGTTGTGTTTTCTGACACTTGGTGAGTTCCCTGGAACACCGGGGACACATATTCATGTATAAAAGACGTACAAAAGTGCATTTTGCATGATAGGTCCCCTTTAATGTATTAAATCGATGTTAATCCATGTGTGTGGATCATATAACAAGTCTGACAAACAGGAAGCACTGCCGCCAAAACTGAAAACGTGACGTGGATCATAAATATATCAGCAATTAAACAACATCTTACATTTCTTTTCACACAATACGTAAATACATGATGTTTTACAAATCAGATATTAGAAGTAAAATGTGAAATAATATAGCAATATCCTGTACAATTATGTGAAAACATTAATAAAACTACACATCTTCAGATGTTATACATACACAAGTGTCCTACACTAATACAAAGTTATTATGGCTGTGTGTACCTTGTGTGCACCGCCTAGTGGACCGCCTAGTGGACCGCCTAGTGGTTAAAGCACGTTATTGAATTAGTTGTGTATATGATATGTCAATGAACCTTAGAAAATCTTGAAATCTTGAAAGGGATATGCAAAATAGCCATTATATACAGTCTTTAATTAACTATTAGTAGAGAATAACAAGTAATGAATATACTTTATAGGGATCTGCAGATAAATGTTTAGTCTTCTCAAGCACCAACTATCAAATACATGTATCTCTCCTGATTGTTGGTACTTGACAATCACCTTTCCCTGAATTTTACTCAGGTGTAACTAAAGCCTGATTTAAGGGTTGTTTATATTTCACATCATTAATCAGAATCTGCAAAGTAACTAAAATAAATGTAGTGGAGTAAAAATACCAGGTTAACCTCTGAATTGTAGTGGAGTAGAATTGCTGTTTTGTTTAGTAATGGATATTGAATATGGAATAAAGGTTTTGACAAGACCTGGTGTAACAATAATCAAAAAGGACATTAAAAGAGCTCCAGATGTTAATGATCTAAACAAAACAGCACACCTGAAATGTATATTTAAATACTTTATTAAGGGCAGTGAATTAGTTTTTTCTGTATGTTTTTCAAATCAGTGTTATACAGTAAGTGTCATAGACAGTGTTACATTGCTATTATTATCCTTAAAATATCAACCCAGTCTCACGGCATTTCGTGTTATAGTCACGTTATTTAATCTATTGATTCGTGTGCACCACCACGATTATCCCCTTATTTTCGTGTCACACAGAACGATTTTAAAAGCAATGTATTTCTATTGGTAATGTGTTTCGTGCCTGCAACACATCTTTTTCTCGGTCTGGTCGTGGAAGACCGGAAGCTGTGTGGTTCATAAAAACATGTTCTTACTCAATATCAAGCCACGATTATTGCTTTTATTTAAAATCGTATCATTTCGGACTTTTGTTGCCGTCTGTGAGGAAAAGAAATGGGGCTCAGAGCCTCAGGATACTGAAATCTGTATTTTTAAAATCTTTTTTTCCTTCTAATTTGTTATTCTTTTCAAAATAACACACTGTTATTTACTCAACAATAACACACAATTATCCTTGTTTTTATTTATTGGTTTAATTCAATAATCTCGGGCTTTTTTGACGTCCGTCAGGAACTGAATTTCAAAATAAAGTCCGAAACAATACCAGAAACAGATTTAGGACTTTTCAATAATCCTCAGCGGTGATTGGATGTTTTAGCCGCAATGCACGTAGGGATATGGTGTTTATGCACACGTTTCTTTCGTGTCAGAAAGCACGATTTTCAAAGTAATGCATTTTAAGTGGAAGAATTGTTCGTGTCTCCTCTTCGTGTCTCGGGAAGCCGGAAGCTGTATTATTTTCTAATGTTTATTTTTTTTAACCATAACGGGTACTTTACACAACATTGAGTCAAACTTATCCTTGTTTTAATCCTTGTTTTATTTATGTTAAATTGTTGTTGTCGGTTAATTTTCCATTTTATTTATTAAGGTTTAAGATATCATTAGTCTTTTATTTTATTATTATCATGCTTGGTGTTTACACTTTTCTGCATTTTATAAGGCAATATATACTTTTTTGTTTTTGTCTGTAGGCTACTTAGGTTATTAAATAGTTATTGCGTCAAAATATAGGAAATGTATTAATATTTTATTGTATAAGGAAATGACATAATTTAGAGCACCACCTATTGGCCAAAGACCGCTGCCACCGGTCCGGCATTGCTATCCATCCTCTGACAAAGTAAGTTGTGTCACTAAAGTCTGATGCATGATTTAATAATTGGGGCTTTTTTTTTAAGCCTTTTCTCGCATAGTTCATCATACATAATGAACTGTTCTAAGTCTGAGAAATGCTTTCGCCATAATCAGCAAAGCAACATTAATGTGAAATTATTCTTGCGGGCGGCTAGCTAGCTAGCTCACATTCAACATAAGCTTAATCTAGTTTAGCTACATTTATATCAGCTCATAAGTGGTGTGTGGAAAATATTTGTCTTAATTACGGCTACATACTTCGGTGTTAAAGTGTGAGTTATACGTTATCTTAATCGCTTTTGTTTTACACATGACAGTACTAACGCTGCCGAGCGGACATTTAACATATGTTTGGGGGGGAGGGGCATAGTCCATGTGCACGGCCATGTGCTTGTTACGCGTCTGAAACAGGAAACACGTAAATGAACTCACTCAGTCTGTCTAAAGTAGTTAAACCGTCACAATGTGCATTTAAAAAAGCTGGTTTCACTACATAATTCACTTTTTCTGTTCTCTCCTGCAGCTCCTGTACCCACACCACAAACCCATACACTGATCTACACCATCATAAAACCAACGGCACTTTTAAGAGCCAAACTCAACCTATCTCTCTGTCTATCTACCTAGCTTTCTTATAGTTATTGTCTCTATCTTTTTCTATCATTCATTATCTATTTCTTCATCTATCTATCTCAATCTTACAATCTGTCTCACTATCTCTGTCTGTCTCATACAGCAGCTGTTTGTTTGCATATCTGTTGTGTCTGGCTGGCTGGCTGGCTGGCTGGCTGGCTGGCTGGCTGTGTTGCAATGGCAACAAAACACAACCCAGACCCCAATAATCCCACATCCAAAGAAGGGAAACGCATGGCTCTTGAGCTGAAGCATGAACACATGCTAGCTGAAGCTAAGGTTGGTGTTTTAACCCATATGACCTCATTCATTTCCTACTTGAATGTGGCACTATCTCTTATCCAAAAAATGCTGAACAGGCCAAGAGTAACTGGATTTTGGATCAATGTATAGGGCCTTTGCAAAACAGTTCATCATTACAACATGGGGGGCAGAGGCTTACTAAATAAAGCTTGTTCAACTTGTTTTACTTCATTAGTTGGATATGGTAGGAAAAACTTGAAGCAAAAATGTTCTTCAAGTGAATGAATTTCCTTTTATTTGTCCACTGTCATATGGTATCAGTTCATCAGCAACATCAACCTTACATGAGTTGTTACTTGGTCACAGAAAGCAGCTGAGGAGAGGAAACGGGCACGCTCTGTAGGAGACACTTTACAGTCCCCTAAAAGGGGCTGTGTAGGACGTGGCAAGCCGAGAGGGAGGCGTGGAGGGCGACGCCAAGGCTCAGCTACAGGTTGAAATCCCAATTATTTTACATTTTTATGAATTTACTCAGTAAATGGTTGGAAAATCTAATTAAAACACAGTAATTGCTTGTTGAGGGTCTACAATAATTCCAATATATAAACGCATAGTGACACTACAGTCGGAGACATTCCCACTGTGGTGTCATAAGAACTATGCTTTATTTAATTTCACAAGCTTTTAAACAATAGGTAGATAATACAAATCATCAGTTATCTGTTGTTAACCCTCTGTGTGATGTTTTACAGTCACATCCCCCCCGACTGAGGGCTTCCAGTCATCCAGTGTGGAGGTTCTGCGTACTGAACCTTCAGCACAACATGAATTTGGTAAATCACAAAAATGGCTTTAAGTTTAAAACTAAAATCAATTTTTAAATAAATTGTGTTAGTGAGAGAAAATAACCTTATACACAACTGACAGTTCAGGACTCGAACGAGGAATAATTCAGTAAAGATATTGGCCAGTTCCATACTGAGCAAAGAAATGATCCTTGATTTTTAGTGTTCATCTTAAATATAGTCATTTACAGTTAAAGTTTCCCATTCTGTTCACAGAAAAGAATATGGAGAGACTCTCTGACATTCTTTCCTCATGTCCTCCTCCTGAGCCTCAAAGAAGCTCTGCCTCATCCTGGTCTTTTCGGCAGCAGAAAGCCTCAGAGCGCTGGAAAGAAGCGAGACCACACCACCTACAATGCCTTCTAGAAAAAGAGGCTGTTGGTCATCCCCTGTGTGGCCTCTGCCACGAGCCGGCTGTTATTAGGTGAGATAACATTTACCTTTATTTAAATTACTTTACCTAATTGTAATTTTTCAGTATTAATGCTCAGTGCTCTGCTATTTCAGCTAGCATGCATGACTTTTGGGATGTTAGAAAACTGGATACCTAGAGAAAACCCACATGAAAATGAAAGTAATTCTAGGATATTATAATCATTTTGTATTTCCTCCCAAGGTGTAGAGAGTGTCTCCCCGAGGAGTGGTTCTGTGGAGACTGTGATGTACTTCATCACAAGAAACAGCCACTCCACAACAGGGACAGTTTAATTAATGGGTTTTTTAAACCAATTAGTCCAACAACGTGTGTTGTTAGAGTGGAAGGTGGATATGACACCCATGACCAAGGTATGCTCTCTCAAACTTGCATTTTGATGTTCACATGTCTCTTCGGCCAGCAGATAATGGTAATTAGTGCTTTTTTTTTTTTTTTTGACAGCTTGCATATTGCCAACTGTGAAGGCACCCAACTGCTCCTGTGAAGGCAAAAACTTCACTGTGGTACCAGGCAAACCAGTGATTTTAATTACCATCAATGGTAAACAAATATATATTTGGATTTCTATTGAATTGTTGTTATATTTTTACTGTTGTGGGCTGAGGCATTGTGCTTCCAATTGGAGTAAAACCTTCATGTAATATCTGTTAATCTTTGACTATTTGTAGATGGAACTGTTGTAAAATGTGTCTTAATTATGTTTATTTACTTGTTCCAAGGGCGTTATGACTTGCATCTGCCACTATATGTCTGTCAAACTTGCCAGCAGCAGTGGACCCCCGACTTGAAAGTCCTCCTTAAGAGTGGATACTGGCCAGCTTCGGTCAGTATTTCCACACTTTACACCTTGGACCTCATGAGCTCCTTTGAAGAGCTCAAGGTCATCTCTCCGGGATTCTCCAGACAGGCCTTTGCAAAGCTGCTGGAGCATCGCACAAAGTGTGGAGGAAGAGTAAGTATAAATATTCGTTACCATACATTATAACATTTCCGTAAATAGACAAAATCACAGCAATTATGTAATTATCTTCCAGTCTGGACCTGTCAACGGAGATGCACTGCAGCGCAGCTTTCTGGAGTTCTCCTATGCCTCGTATGAGGAAGACCAGCTCTGCTGTGGTGCTCCTTTCATCTGCCCTGCCTGCACGCCGGAGATGTTGGCTGTTTCTGCCGATGGAAACAGGAAGCTCTATCGCTTTCGGCGAAGTGGAAGGTGCTGTTTTTACAATGTTGTTATTTAACTTTTTTGATTACTGTTTATATTTCATGGATATATTTGCTAATCTTTTTTTCCTTAGTTCTGATGGCAGCGCCTTTTTTAATGGGCTCTTTGTAGCAGAAGACAGCGCGGTGGCTGCATTTGTCGACAAAATACAGAGATCACTGAAAAATGCAAGTTTTTATTCGTCATTTTACCTTATAAGTATATCACAAAAATAGCCATGTATATCCGACCTAGACTTTCTTCAAATTCAGCTACTTCTCCTTACCATCTACTCCAAAATCAGATAATTAGAACAAATGGTGTAGATTGTGATTCCATTGCTTTTAACTGATTTGTCATGATGTAATGCATGTCTTAGACCCAGGGAAGAGGCACATGTGGGGACTCCCAGTGGACAGCAGCGAGGGAGACGTCAAGGAGGGCTTCTAAGCTGGATGAAGAAGGGATGGAGGTGGCTGTATGTCACCATGGGTTTCTTTTGAAGGCCTTAAATATGTACAGGGGGGAGATATTCGCCTACCCCCTGTATCTTCAAAAGGAACTCATGCCAGCCAAAGCCAAGTTCTTCGCCATGGATGTGGCTTGCAAGTACTGGCCGTACATGGAGAAAGCTGCAAGTGTCCTTCCTGCTCTCCAGGAGCTGACCACCATGAAGCCATTCCTCAGTGTAATGCATGCTCGAGCCCATGCTACCAAATGCGAGGTATGTGAAATATTTTTGTATCACGTACATTTATATTTATAATACTGAAGTAGTAAATATCTAAGATATACTGTTTAGTATAGTAGTATGTAGCCTCTTTGCACAACAATTCCAGCAACCTTTTACCATCAGATTATATGGAGTGGGAAGAACCAGGAGGGAGCAGGGATGACCGCCGGGGAAGAGGTGGAGCAGGTCAACAGCTACCTGTCCCGTTGTGCCCTGACAACCAAATACATGTCCAAAGCAGGTGAGTGGAAGGTTTTGCCCTATTATTGCATACTTTTTTAGATGACACATCATAACCTCATTATTGCTTTCAAAAGCACGACTGGACATGCTCACAGTGCATGCTATGGGATGGAACAGGAAAAAAGGTGACTCCCTTCATCAGGCACTTTCCACAAGATATGTGAAGGTGAGCCTCCTATTAAAGGTGTTGTGTCCTTTGTCATTTGCACATGGCTTGTTGTTAATCATAGCAAGTTTTAATCTTGATAAATGTCCATCGTCTACTGTTTATCAGACTAGTAAGAGGCTCCTGGAAGAGACTGCAAGTCTTGAGGAACTCAAGACGGAGCTGCATTGTGTCTCAGATGACATGGTGTCGACGTGGATTTCCGACGTGAAGGAATGGGCATCTGGTAAGCACGACGAGATAACACCAGCTACATATCATTGTCCATGACTGTTTGAATTTACAGATTTGATCCTAAAGAGCAGCCAATGATATAAGGCTGATTTTTCATGCCACGTAATGGGACCCTCACTGGATTTCAGTAGACGGGGACATAATCTTCAAGCAATAGCAAGCCAACTATGTGTCCATGTTTATCTCTGATATGTTCCAGTTTCCATAGTTGTACCATCAATTTGTGTTAAAAGGTGTTACACAACTTTGTTTCTCAAAACCGTTACGTGTTGTGTAACAGTACATTTTACTGCCACTATTATTTCTACAGGAACATCAGAAACATCGGGTACTTCTGAAGACATCCTTCAAACAGCACTGCAGCAAAGCATTGAGGGGCTTTACCTAAGTGTGAGGCAGCGGAAGCAATCCCTTTACCGACAGAATGGTATAACAATATAATGTTTTAGGTTGCAGATTCAACCTACTGAATTATATATATTTTTTGCACTTGCAAATATAGTTTGTCACATATCCCTATCCCTCTACCTCATGTATTTTTCAGACAGCAGCAAGCTGCTTCGAAGGAAGCTTGCAGACGACAAAAAGCGCCTTAACCAGGAGATACTGAAGTACAACCAGCTGGTACACGACTCTGCCAGAGGCATAGATGTTGCTGCGGTGGAGCATTCCCTCTCTGGAGGGAGCATCATGTCCGCGCTGTGGCCGTGGGAAGTTCATGGCATGGGTCAGTTTTCAGATATTTCATAATAATTAATTTGAAGTTCTGTTATATGAAGGTATACCTTGCTGAGTTATGCACATATCATGTAGAGTGTTAAAACGTTCATTTAGTTTAAGGGTATATCTTAAGTTTTCTTATTGTGTATACATTTGATTATTTTGAAAGTACATGTTTGGAGTTTTAAACATATTGTTATGCTATAATAAAAATGTGACTCATGTATACATAACTGTGATTGGATTTTAGCTAACTTTACAGCCAAGAAAAAGATACTGGATCAAGTGATGCTTACACGGAGACTGCAAGAGGAGAAAGGCATCCTATTGTTGGAGATGGCGCAGCATTGCACATGGTTGCAGAACATGGCAGTTGCTCTAAAAAATAAGGTGGCTGAGGAAGGTAAGTTGAAAGCAAAACTTAACCTACCTTGTAAAGTATGAGTTTTAAAGGAAAAAAGTCAGCCCAAATCATTCTTGGTCACAGAAATTGGATGGAGTATAATGGCCTTTGCCCATTTGACCCGGCCATTTTACATAATGAAGTCCCTGGACAGTGACAATCATCTTTATGTACATGGGAGAGAATATACTCCATTGAAGTGCTCTGGCCTCGTGAAGCAATCTTACTGTATAGTATGTCCATATAACAATATTTTGTGTATTTTCAGATGTAGACAAGGGGAATGTAGGACTTGGGTGCACCCTAAGAAGGAAGCATGCTGAGGCGTCGGAGAGGTTGCAGGTGGTACTGCAGCAGTACAAGACTGCTTTAGGTCCTGATGCTTCTTTCCTTCAACATGAAGAGGAAAGTCAAAGTGGCCTAAGCAGTCCAGACACCAGTGAGGATGAAGGAAACATCATTTAGGTAATTTACTTAGGAATTAATGTACAGTATCTTTGTTGATTTAGCCTCAATCTAGACATGTTGCTGTTACTTTTGTATTCATTAATGCTAAACATACATTGTGTATTCAAAAACCTCAAATTTGGGTTCTTTTTTGTTTCTCTGTATTTCCCCAGATTGCTGCTGCTCTCAAGCACGAATATCCGCCAAGACTTGATGTGCTATCAGAAATGTAAATACTTTACTGACTTTATATTTAGAGATTGTATTCATACTCCTCAATGGAAGATCACCCTTGAATATGTTGACCATATGACTTTTCCCTATGCCGCAGCATCAGGCCAAACATTTCACTTGTACACAACTTAAATGTTATTGAACAAAATGCTCAGCGTCCCTGGAATGCATCCTGAGCAATGAACCATTCACTTTTGATCCTTTTTGAAACACTAGAATGTAAATTCCTAAATGTCCAAGTATATCTTGCTGGTTACCAAACAACTTGGTGAGCACATCATTGTCCAAGAGCAGGAGGTCTTTCCCTTTTTTCCCAGAACGGGATGCCTATGCATTATTATGTTCGATCTCTTATAGGATTTACCTGTCATTAACTTTATATGACTGCACCTGTTACACTGCAGGCCAATAACAGCTTTGCTCTAATTGTTCATTTTTGTTTCTTTTGCGTTATTTGCTTTTATTGCTATGTCAGTTATATTTCCTTTTTGATCTCCAGCTATTAACCTGATTGATTGAAGTACTTCAATCAACATGTACAATGCACAGTCTTTTAGGATGTATAATTAGGGACATTGAGATAAACAACAAATAGTTTATTTGGTGAATCACCTCATTGTTGTTCTCAAAATCAAATAATACATTGTTATAAATTGTTATATTTGATTTACACATAGAATGTACATGTTTAATATACATAGTTAAATCCTAAAAAAATGGTTGTGTTGTATGATTTCTTAATACTGTATGTTATAACCTTTTGCATAACTTGATTTTATGTTCTGTTGTCCATGCTCTTCATGTTAGACTAACCCCAACGCTCGAGAGTCAACATACACCCTTATGGTGGCCTTTTACTTGTATTGTGGTGAAACACATAAGTAAATCATTGCCAGAGAGGACCATTTTATTGTTTTAAAAACAATGTTATTGATGTGGTTGATTGATGAATAAATATAAATTAAGCATACTTCTGTGGTACTTTTTGTTGTTTACATCACACTGCATTATAATGCGTTTGGAAATAAATTCATTTAGAAGTAACAATATGGGTTAGCACTTGAATATTTTTGTAAAGAGATGATCCTCATCTGGAACACTGGTTGTTAGTTTAAGATAAGATAGAACTTTATTGATCCCAATTTGGGAAATCTTTGCGTTGCAGCAGCATTAAAACACATGGCATTATACAATAAAAAGACAAGAAATAAAGAAGAAAATATACATGTTGAATTTACAAATGAGCAATAACAAGATATAAAGCAAGGTATTATATTTACATAAGTATGTGACAGATGGAATATTAAATATTACACTGAATATGTCAAATGTACTGTGAAGAGAGAAGCTATGGAGCAGAGAGCTCTCTTCCAGCCAGAGGTGATTTGTTGTACAGAGTTATTGCAGTAGGCAGGAATGTTTTCCTGTATCGGTTCCTGTGACAGCGGAGCTGCAGCAGTCTGTTGGAGAAGGAGCTCCTGTCTGTCCAGGTGGAGAGGGGTGGGGTGGGGTTATCTGTCTGTCCAGCTGCAGGTGGAGAGGATGGGTGGGGTTACCCATGATGGAACCAGAATAAGGTTTGTTGGCTTACACGCCTTTCATCGTAGTGGAAAATATTGTCATATGGAATATTTTTGGATAGTTTCACCATTGAAATGCGTTTGATAACACTAGGTGCTCTAGTGCCAAAGTTGTGGCGCTAAAAAAATATCAACTATTCATTTGTATGGCACCCAGAGCTTCCACATTTTAGGGAATATGTTTTTTTTTAACTGTCATAAGCAATGGTTTCATTAAAACCCTCCTATTGTATTCGTTTCCCCCCCTTACTTTGGTGTTCGCGGTCAAATTTGACCGGTCCTGTTTTAACTGCTATTACATTAACACAAAAACCGTTAATCATCACCAAATGTAATTTAACACCCTTTCAAACTGTACATATTGTATCAGACTACTGGTATACATGAACAACTGCAGTAAATATACAAAGAATAGACACTGAACATGTATTGGGTGTGCCGGGGGGATGGGCACATAAGAGCGGGAAATGTTTCAAATTGGTGTGTGTGTGTGTGTGTGTGTGTGTGTGTGTGTGTGTGTGTGTGTGTTTGATCTGATCCGGATGGTTACTAATTCCTTGTCTTTATGGCGGGAACACCATGGGTGTTTCAAAGTTGACTAAATCATCCAAAGTTCAATGAAAGTGGTGATCAGCAATTTAATATATTCAAATGTCTACTGTGGAGGATATCATTATGCCTTAATACAATCGAATGTAAAACAAAAAAGTTATGATTGATGAAAGTAGTAAATCGGTCAAATTTGAACCAAACACAACAGGAGGGTTAAAAGCATAGCTATGCTACATAGTGTAGGCTACTGTGCTTAGTATGGACTGTTATTTCATATTAAAAAAAGAAACTATTTTTCTTTTACTTTCTTTTTTACAAGTGTGCATCCGCTACAGTCGTGCTGCCATAAAAGACCCCCTGATCACCTCGCAGCTGTCCAGCATGAAATGAGGTCATATGAGGTCATAAATGAGGCGGCTGTTGTTGGGGAATTACTTTAACTTGAATTTGATTTGTATTTCTTTGCTGGATTATTGACCTCTTCTCTCCCTGAGAGGAACAGGCAGCAGCCCCAGGGCTGTCACACGGTTCTGTACAATATGTAAACTCTCCCTCCGTCTCTTTCGGGCCTATAACAGCGATGCCCAGGAAACCATGGAAATAAGCCTCCATTCTTTGAGATAATAACAGCATAGTGGATATATCAGGGTCAGAATACCTGAGGCGAGATCTATGGCTTCTCCTTGCCTGACCAGACCTCTCTCTAGGTCGTCCTCAGACGAGCCCTCCATCGTCGCTTCCAGTCATCCCGGTTCTCCATACATCTGGCCAGTTCATTGGTACTTTGTGCTCCTGCGTCATTCTTGAGTACGTCCACGTATGTTAGTGTGTGACGTCCTCGTGACCGATGCCCGTGTGTTGGTTCCCACAGCACCAATTTGCTGGCTGGCAGCTCTGGATGCCTTTGGCAATGTCCTGCTAGTCTCATTCTCCTGGCTGCAATTTTCTCGCTCACCCTTGGTATTCCCTCATACAGGATCATGTTGGTTACATGTACACTCTTGCTGATGTTAAGTACAATCTATGGCTTCTTCTTGCCTGACCAGACCTCTCTCTAGGTCGTCCTCAGACGAGCCCTCCATCGTCGCTTCCAGTCATCCCGGTTCTCCATACATCTGGCCAGTTCATTGGTACTTTGTGCTCCTGCGTCATTCTTGAGTACGTCCAGGTGACCTCAGACCTAGTGAGAACCAGATTCCACTATGAGAGAACCAGATTCCACTATGAGAGAACCAGATTCCACTATGAGAGACATCACTTGCCTCCTCATGTTGATAGATGTACATGCAGTGGTGTAACTATCGACGGTGCAGCCGGTGCAACGCACCGGGGCCCAGGGCCGGCCAGGGGCCCAATGGCATTGGCGGGTTCACGCAGTCTTCAAAGTAACCAAGCAACCTAAATTAATTAGGTCCAAAACAATATTTGCACCGGTGCCAATCATAACCTTGTTATGCCACTGTGTACATGTATCTTTGTTGAGTAGGTTAAATCAGCCGGGCAGGGAGAGAATCTTCAGAGTTGATGGTGGCGGAGAGCTGGGCACAAAGCTCTAAACTCAAACAAACAGTGTTTGTGCTTCTGTCATTTGTCAAATCTCCAGCACAGACTTTTTATCTCATTATTTCTACTTTTCTATCTCAAAAGATTATGACTTTTTTATCTCATAATTATGACTTTTCATTGGGAAAGTCTTTTTTATTGGGGAAACAGGCTTCTATAAATAATAATGTGCAATTACATATACATTTTATTTTACTTATAGAATAAGAAAAATAAACATAAGAATAGTCTACTGAAGATAAAAGCATGGACAAGTTTTTCCAAATCCTGCTGTGACATTAGTCTTTTAATCCTAGATATGTTCTTTAGGTGATAGTAGGCTGATTTAGTAATTGTTTTAATGTGACTGTTGAAACTCAGGTCAGAGTCCATGACTACACCTACATTTCTGGCTTTATATGTTTTTTTTAACATTGTATGTTGAGTTGGCACCTCAGCTCAAAACATACAAAAACACAGAAGAATAGAAAGTTAACCCATTGAAATGATATGAGAGCAGCGCTACAAACTACAATTCCCATTAGATACGAGCCCAAACATCGTTACGAAGTACACAGAGCTGACATATTTGTAGTTCTTCCGGCGTGTGTGCGTGGACTCGTTCGACTTGTCTTGCGTTGACGGCCGTATAGACTCCATTCCCTTTCAGAAAGCCGTCAATCGGGCGCGATCCGAAACCAAACCGTGTGTTTAAAAAAATATACAATACAAATGTGCACTTTTGCCTCCTTTGCAACGGCAGTATCGTTTGTCTAGTACTTCCGGGTGGCGATCTGAGTTCGGGTACCGTATCTGTGACGTGACAAAGGGTCGCCATGACAACGTGGGGATGAGATGTGGATAACTTTCCAGATAAAGACCATCCTGATACTCGAGTTGTGGTTTTCAATAAGTGAAAAAGAAAATTCAAAGTAATCACTACCATTTTAATATCTCAAGCATTTAAATATGTCCCCAAAAGCTTTCAAATGTAGTAGCAAAACCACAGTGATCCAGAGCAGGATCATTTTAATTAGGCCTATAATTAAATGATATGCAAGCCTACCTCCAAAGCGTTATACTTCGGAAGTTAAACAAATTAGATAAGGCAGTGGATGGCAACGTACCAGATTTCACACATGAATATGCTTAATATAGGTTATGGTGTTCCTATCACTGACAATGAAATCATGTAGTATTTCAACTGTAATTTCCTAAAAAGTCAAATGCATTTTGGTGGAGGTTTTCATCTTATTTCTAATAGAAACATATTAAATATGACTCAAATGGAGCATATAAACAAGAGAATAAACGTGCAAAAACAAAACTGGAGTTCAAATAACAGTTTTTATTTTTATGCATTATCCCGGAGAATTCTTCGGCTGCCAGGAATGAGCCCACTCCTTGCCACTGAAAACAGAATGGAATAATGTTAGTTACAGGTACTGGTTTCGTCTTTCCGAAAAGCATAAAACATGTTAGAAGCAAACATCTTATAACTCAATTTATATAAGTAAATGTTTCATTTTCCATTTATTAACGACCACCACCATTTAGAAAAAGTGAACATAGAAATGAAAACACATTTTCAAACAAACAATAAAAACAAACCAAAATACATACATTAACAACAATGAAGTTAAACAATCATTTGTTCCTACACTACTTCAGCTGCTTCAGAATAACAGCAGTGAAATATATAAGAGGACTGGTGGTAGATCTGGATGTTTTGCATTTGTTAAATATCATGTGTTTGTTCTCCAACATGGGACTACATCATATGACATGAAGCCAAGTAACTGGAAGATATATACCATACTGGACAGGGCTCCCACTCCACCAACATTTCTGCTTTTCCCTATCAAGAGAAGAAAACAAATCTCTAATTTCGGAAAGACCAAACGCATATTAGCTATTTAGCAAACAATTGTGGTGGAAATCACATAAATCATAAAGCACACCCTATGCATTACTTTGATTCCTGTCTAACCTTTCTCATTCTTTCTCTTATTACACTCCTGATGGGGAAAGTTTCTAGGCGAGTGTGGTAGGAGCAATCTGTGAACATCAAAGCAGGTTCCACATACAGTATTAGTCATATTAGAAATAAAATAAATACAACTATGAACACTTAAGTAGCAACCAGACTTGCACGATGAATAGTGATCACACTGTTATCACTGGTCAAAAGTTACTGTATACATCATTGAAATGGAACCAAGCTGCTCTCAGTCCTAAAATGGGATGCTTGTTTGAATGGCCATACCACTGCTGAGCCTGAGATGACCAAAGAAAATACTGCACTGCTGCTTCCTTTACTGCCTAGCATTCTCATCACCACCTTATCAACTATGACTGTATGTATTTTAGTCTAATTAGACAATTAAAGCCCTTTGGATTTTTGGATAATGATTTTTGGATAATGTATCAGTTATAGTTATTAGTCACAATATAGCGTTGTTAACTCACTGAAGAAGCATCAATCACTGCGTTTACATGCACTTTGCTAAAGTACATGTCGATAGATTTATTAGAATACCAATCAATTCAACTCATGCACATGTTTATAATCAGTCAAAATACTTAATACTGTTAACATACCTGACTTTTTCTTTTTGCGTCTAGGACCAAGTACTGTGTCCCTCACGGACCCTGTCCTGACAGCTGTGGGTTGAAGAAGAAATATTACTATATACATACAGTATACCAAGTTAAGCTTAAACTCAAGTTTCAAAATACATCCCACAAATGCAGCATCACATGAGGTGGCAATAGGTGTTAGGTACAGATATCTTTTTGTTATTGCGATTTAATTGAGGTTGATCTATGAAGTCTAGGTGTTTTGTTGTCTTGCCTATATAATTGACTCCATACTTTATGTGTAAGGAATAGTTTGATAAATATTAACATGTTGTGCTGTAACGTTAAATGAATTTAACTTTGATTCAAAAACCTAAGTTTATTCCCCGTATATTCATTATGGGACAGTGTCATATCTAAATGCAGTTCTTGAGTATAAAGTTTAAATATGCTGCATGACGTTGTTGCATGAGTTGCTTCAAAGTTTACCCCTAGGGTCAGGGATTGTTTAAGGTAGACCACAATATTAATGATATCAACCTCTCGTACAATATATGGACAAGTGCCAAATCATTTTGATGTAATCGACCTACTGCCCAACGCTACAATGTAAGACCCTTTCTGTGTGTAAACAAAATGACATGAGTTTTATTTTGTGATTCATCAAATGTATAGTAAGCCTGCTGTTGCTTTGCATTTTTGTGTGAAAAAGGTATAACCATATAGTAACCACATGTCTGTTCAGGAATGAAAGACTGTATTTTTCTAAATGTTTAATATTTATTTATATCCAAGTACCTAAGGATATACACATACCCAAGTATCCCATTTTCCTTTCATATTTATGAAGTTGTAGGTGAAATTGTTATTTAGATTAAGCTATTGTTGTTATTATTATTTACCTATTGGAACAATCATTATTCCCAAAAATGCAAGAAGTGCAATTAGGTGTTTTGAGATATTGTAGAAGCATGACTTGTCAACAAGTTACCTACAATAATCTTTTAGGAAGATATCGGAAAACACTCTTGACTTTTATAAATATAAAAGCTGCAAATCTCAGAGAACAAATGTCACTGTGTGCTGTGTGCTCTGCATGTGTGACCATTAAAGAGGGTTTCATCCCTCCGATTCGATCTATCTATTTTATTACCTGGCCCCTCCGTGGTGGTAGCCTGTCTCAGATCATCCCGCTGGGGCTGCTCCTCCTGACCCACCTCTATGATGGTGCACTGCTTCACGGGGGGGGGTCTTCAGCACCTCCACCTGCACGGTGCTTGTCTCTGGCACCTGGCTCTCTGACGTCCCTGCCTCCTGCCCTACCTCTTTGGTGGTACACTGCTTCACGGGGGGGGGTCTTCAGCACCTCCACCTGCACAGTGCTTGTCTCTGTCTCTGACGTCCCTGCCTCCTGCCAGTTGTTTTCTGGTTCAGATGGGTCACAGGGTGTGAGGTTCAGCGTGACTGTCTCTTCCTCAGGATCTTCCGCAACCCCCTGGCCAGTGGAGTCCTGTGTCCAACCTGTGCAAGTTAAACAAATGTTGGTCTTGACTTGCTTAAGACAAAGAGGTTAACTCATATATCTAGAAATAAGAAATACAGCGTGCTTAAGGTATTTTCCAGACAGGGTCAAAAATATACTCGTCATGTCATAGTCAAAGTTAATAGCAGTAATAGTGGTATTTATCCAGTCAACCATTTATGGTTTCGTTTTTGCGATATTATTCTTCCGATTTGTGTTTACATTCCATGTGATGTGACATGTCAATTTGTCGGTAGACAACATATAGACGTGTGCATGTATGTTCCCTTACATTATTTACATCCACACATTTTGTTCAGAATTTATAAGACTGACGCAAACGTGTTTTGCATAAGTGCAATCAAATAAGTAGCAAGTCGCTTTGGATAAAAACGTCTGCTAAATGTAATGTAAAGGGACCTCTGGATGCACTGGATAACTGCTTTTGTTTACAACCCGAGAAACATGACCTTAATACAGAACTGCCAAACTGAATATGTGGTCAACTGGGATCGTCTTCATGTATTGTGCTCTTACCATTAACCTCAAAACATTTCTCCCTTTTGGGCGTTGATAAAGCAAACAGTTTAGGAACGGTTTGCTAAAAGGAAATTGCTTAAGGGATGGCTCAAGCCTAAAACTACATTTCAGTCATCAAACCCAACTACCTTGACATTAACAACTTTCAATTTGTATACAATGAATGCGCAAGTGGTAGCACAATACCCCAAAATGGTTTTTCAAATTCAAGTAAACTTGCCTACCTATTTCCTGATAAATAACAGTTAAATGTCCACAAGTCCCCTCTGCAGAGTAAGCCATGTCTCATTAGGCTACATACTCAGTGTTTAAAAATGTATTTATTGTATGTAGTTTGCTAAAATAATAAACAGTCAAACGTTGTCCATATCCCTAAATATTTTGCAATTACTTTCAACTTTTGTAATACTTTGCAGCTAAAAATAGTGACAGTTAACAGGTAGAAAGGATGTGTGTTAGTTGTCTCACAAAAATATAGTTTGCCAAACCCAAATAAATGGCTCGAATGACTGCTTTCTGGCTGTATCAAAGGATAAATACTGGATCAAGTTGTTGTCCCACAAGATTTGGATGGATTGAAAACAGTCGCTGTAAGTTGTTGTTAACTTAACTGACTTTATTAAATGAGTTGATCCAAACTCATTCCATATAACTGTGTTGGTTATAAGGAAATGTTAAGCTCTCCAACGTTTATACTGTCAGGGAGGTAAGGACTCGTTGACTGAACATGTTTTAGGGGTGAACCATCCCTAGAAGAGTTTAACATTGATACAAACATTTTGTGTACACAATACTGTGAACTGTGAAGATATAGTGCAAGCATCTCACCTTCACAAAGGAACTCATAAAAAGTGCCTATCTTGTCAAGGTAATCCTGGGCATAGGCGGTCAGTGTGCAGCGAGGGGTTAGGATTTCACATTTGACCTCCTTCTTCCTGGTCTCCTTGCCAAGAAGCAGCACTGGTTTAAAGCCAATGGCATGGAGTTTCTCAAGCTGTAATGACAAAATAATATATTTACTGTTTAAAGAAATGGAAAGGAAACAACTATATAACTACAACTATAACATTACTGATGACAGCATCTACACTGTAAGACCGAACATTACAAGCTTCTGAAAGAAAATGGGTTGTTTTAACTCAAACATTTAAAAAAGTTAATTCACCGCTAATGTTTTGATGACTATGAACTGATTTTTAATATTGTGTATACAGTGTTCAACCACTTTGGGTCATATTGGTGATTGTACTCAAACATTTTTACTGAATCTGTCTGACGCTGGTCTGACGTCATCACGTATGTGCTCCGCCCCCGACGTGCCTAGACGTTCTCTCACCCATGCCTTCACCAGTCCGCCATTAGCTCCTCGCCTCGGTTGAAATCGCACATACTTTAAAGAATACTTTCCCCACCTTGACTGCCGGAATCTTGATCATTTTTTTTGGCCGCACTACTCTGGTGAGTTACGTTTTGCCTTTGCACAGTATTTAAATTATGTTTTATGAATTTCTGCATCTAATGCACTTTGTGTCGCATGGTGTGTTAGTTTGATTTGAGCTTTAATATCTGCCTCACTTGAAAAATGATTTAACTTACGTGTAAGACAGTATTTTTATATTGTTTTAAGTTATATCTTAAAGTGGAAAGTTTGTGTTGCAAAAGTTCTCTTGGAAAATTCGAACCTACAATGGCGGCAAGCGGGGGTTTTCTTTCTTCTTTTTTTACCGCATGTCTGGGCATGTTTTATTAACTTAGAGGCATCGAGGATTTACGTTCATTTGATCCACTACAATGTACCATAACCGTGCGTTCTGCATGTTTGTAAAAGCAAGCTAACTTGAAACACTAGACTATTCATTTTACAAGGTAATTTATACCCCCCAGCGTTTTCAAATACATGCAGGGTTCGTACGGGTGAGGTGTTTTCAAGGTTTGAAAAGTGCTTGCATTTTGGGAATGGTGCTTGAATTTGGGATAAAGTGCTTGAAATTATAAATGCTTTATTTCGATTTTTAGATTAAAAGAAAATAAAGAAGTCGGAGTGTGCTTAATTGCTTCGCTTTTACATAAAACAGCTCCGCTGCGGCCTTCCCGCGCTATGCGCGTGACCTGCAAGTGTTTGTTTTACGTGTGACCTGGGCATTATGATGAGTGATAGATGACAGTATGCCAGGAGGACGAGGGTCAAGCCCACGAGTAGCCTCCTGCAAAGTTTGCAAAAAATAACGATGCGAGAGTCTGCGCTGACGGGCCACATGAAAGGTACTAGTAGAGCATTTTAGATTAGGCTAACGTGCATGTTACGTTTGTTTAAGCTAACGTTAGCAAGCTGAATAGCGAACTCGATGAGGGATAATAATAATTGCAGGGGACAAACAGTTACAGAGTTACAGTCGCCATCCTGTGGTGTTCAGAGGGTGAAGCACTCACTGTTGTAATTCAACCCAGTCTCACGGCATTTCGTGTTTTACACAGAGCGATTTTAAAAGCAATGTATTTCTACTGGTAGTATGTTTCGTGCCTAAACCAAACGGTTATGTTACAACGTTAGTGGATAAAATGAACGTAAATCCTCTAAGCTAATAAAACATGCACAGACATGCATGCGGTAACAAAAAAGAAGAAAAGCGCGCCGCCATCCGCCATTTTAGGTTCGAAAATAGTGTTTCTCAGATCATTTTGTGAAAACTTTGCAACCCAGCTAACCTTCAATGTTTTTTCTCTTTAGGAAACTGAAGCAACTGGCAGATTTATGGCTTCTTCAATCTGGTAAGCCTCACAGGAGAAACTGTGACGCGCTGGGGGGGGGGGGGGGGGGCACGCTTACACTGTAGGTGCGCCGCGTTTGGGGATGGGGGTGCTGCAGCCCCTTCCCGCATCCATGTTTATTCCACATGGTTACTAAATATGAATGAATATTTAGTGTGCAACACTGAAATTAGGTTAGATTTTTGTTGGTGCCTGTGAATACTGTTACGTTTTCCAATGGCTTGGAGATGCAAACTTTGTGCTGCTGTCTTTGATACAAGGGCACAGTTACTTGAACATTATCGCTTGTATCATAGCAACTGTTCCTCAGTAAGTCCATTGCCTTGTTTCTATGATGACTGTATCTGCACATTTCAGTCATTAAATGCATTGAAAATACATTTAACACGGTTGCATACTCCGACAGTTGTGCCTAGTGAAAATCAGGTGGGAAGTGTGTTATTCATCTGTCCTGTGTGTGGGTTCAAGGAAGCATTCAATGATAAAAGTATTCTTGGTCATTTAAGGACACATTTAAAACAACATGAGATGGTGGATTGTCCATTCAAAGTTTGTCACTACCGTACTAATGTGTATTCCTCCTTCAATGCCCACAAAAGTAGGAATCATCCAGACTGTGCTGTCTCAGATTTAAAAAATGAGATTGTTTTGACAGACACTGACAGCCAACCAATGCTCAGTCAAGTAGATTCTGATGAGGGATGTACCTCTCAGACTTCTGCTGAGCTTCATGCTCCTGAGTGTAATCCTCCTGAGGAAAGAGATGATACTGGTGAATTGCGAGTTCAATTAAGAGACAATCTGGCTTCCTTGTTTCTGAAAATGCAATGTGTTCTTCATGTATCAGAGATGGCTATACAGGACATAGTTGAAAACTTGACACAAATATTCTCTTTGTCCAAACCTCTTGTGAGGGACTCTGTAATCAGGGTTTTTCAAGAGCATGATCAGTCGATCAGTGATGCCCTTCTTCATGATTTAGTAGAATCTATCATGAAAAATAATGTTTTTGTCAGTGCAACTACAGAAGGGGCAGAGCTGTCCACAACTAAGCGAAGGAAAACATTTGTAAGGAGTAACTACCCTTTGGTAATGCCAGTGCAGTATGATATGGATTCCAGTGGACACACAACAGTGTATGTTCCAATACTACAGATGCTTCAAGCAATGTTTAAAAATACTGATCTTCTTAACAAGATCCAAGAAGTCAAACCATCGCCTCCTGGAATGTACATGTCTCATGAAGATGGCACATATTTCAAAGAAAATCAGTTATTGTCAGAAGCAGGAGAGATGAAATTGTCACTGATTTTGTATGTGGATGACATTGAACTAGCTAACCCTTTAGGCACATCCAGAAAGATCCACAAGCTTTGTGCAGTATACTGGTTGCTCGCCAATTTGCCCGCTAGTTATCGGTCCAGCCTGCATGTAATACAGCTAGCTCTGCTGTGCAAGGTACCTGATCTGCAGACATGTGGTTATCAAAGTGTTCTTTCACCTTTGTTGAAAGACTTGCGCACTCTCGAGCAGGATGGCATTTTCATTGAAAGTGTTGGTCAGTGTATCA